TTACACCTCACACAAGAGCAAATAATTTATAAAGTTATGTCGTTATGCAATAGGCAGGACGCAGGGCCGTTCATTGTAGAAAACCTTGGGGAGGCCTTTGTCCAGCAGTGGACGTCATTTGGCTGTAACGAACGAACGAAATGGGCATACCATTTATTCAAGTGCAAAAGGCATCAATAACTAAAGAATTTGAATACGAAACGAAAGGCACATGGATTGTAAAGCAACATGAATAGGAACAAAGAATCACAAAAGTCTAAGTTGGAAGAATAGAACGTGACAAAATTACCGTAAACTTGAAACCTCTGCTCGGCGCGCGGCTCGCGCTTGCCAATTTTTGTAAATTCCTTTTTTTCGCGGCGCTCAAAGGCGGAGCCGAGTTATGAAATTGTTCGAGCGTTAATTGTAGACGTCCGACGGCGAATATTAAAGTAGCCCACAACTAGTTAACCTCGCAGCTCGCCCGCGTACTAATACCGACTAAAACATTGCAAACGGAAAAATAATATTTAATTTGCGGGACATCTCTGAATGTAATTAGCGCAGTTTGTTCTGCGGAGTTTTTATTTGCGAGATAAACCAATAACGCAGACGTGGTGTGGACGCTCGGTTTGATGTTTTGGACCATAGTTTTTCCTTAACTCGAGTACAAATTAAGGAATGCATAAATTTTGTGCCGTTTTCTGTGTGCCTTTTAAGATACATCCGGTTTATCAGATGCACTTTGTTTAAATTTTGAAGAAATTCGTACTATTTGATACTGATCTATCACTCTAGGCACTATTTCTTCTTCAATTAAGCAGATGGTTTTACTTGGATGGTTAATTTCGTTCCTGAATATTTAATTTACTTCATGAACACATTATTCGTGCCCAAAACCAGTGGCGTGTAGCGTCAGTAAGAAAGTTTTCCTTCTACTGTATATCTTCATCTACAAGAATTCGTCATACCGGCCATATCTACGCGCTCGTCACCGGTCCGCTATCGCGTCACTCTTTACCTCCCGAAAAATAAAACTTATCTTTCGGACTCTACAATTCTGAACCCTATATCCAAAGAATAAGGTCTCGAAAAAGAATTCCGTAAACACACGGGCAGCAAGATGATCTTAACAGGCCTCCGGTTTTATGTCCGGAGTCGGTCTCGAGTGGAGCGTTACGCGACAAATTCTTGATCTTTATACCTTACGAGTCTAATCGAGCCGTTGACGAATCGGGGAAAGGTTCGGATATCGTCTTGGGAATTTGCGATATTTTTAGCCGGCATCTAAAATACCGCAGGTACATCGGGAAAAAGCAGTACCTACTTGATGTTTATAGCCTTAGTTACTCGAGTTATCGAGAAATCAAGTCGGTATTTGGATTTCTTTTTCTAGTCATAGAAACAATTAACGCAATTAACAAACACTCACTTAAAACTTTTCATACCTTCCTGATCCTCAGCTTTGTCCAAGTTAAGCCAGTTAATAATTTCCCAACTTTAATAACCTTTCGGGCCGGATCTTATGGTAATCACGTGACTATCTGCATACGAGAGCGAAGGCCCACACTCCTAACACGCGCTCGTTCGGTGTCCCCGCACGTATTCATACACAGAGACAATAATTTACGGCACGTGTTAAATTTAAGGCCGACGGGTGAAGTGCAACAAGTCATAAAACCTATTTTTGAGTTACGGCTGTAATGAAACTTATGATAGTGTTCTGGATGATAAACAGCCATACCTACTCAAATAATTATTATCTTCTCAATCACTATTGTGAGTCATACAAATGTCATAGTATAATATTCACAATCACAATAGTCAATTTTATAAGGTAAGCTGAAAGCTAACCAATGCAGCTACACTACACTGACCAATAAAATGTTTTGGGGTAATCCTAAAACTTTATGATGATGGATGGATGTTTATTGCTCTTTCATGTAAAAATTACTTAACGGATTTTGATGGAAACAATGAAGTAGATTCAGTACTCATCGGGTATTACTCATCGGGTATTAAATAACTGTGCACCAATCGCCGAAATGCAAATACAACTTTTCAACCGATATGTAAGTCTATGTAAGAACCAAAAATGGACAATTTATTACTTAGTCCGTTTCGTGATTTGGACGTCGCTTGGTCCGGCCGCGACCGCGTCAAGTTGTCGCGCGACCGCCGCTAATTGTTGTTCGTAATTTGTTCGGCCCACGCACACGCAAGGTGATATTTAACGTGCCGCATTTACATGCAAATCCCCAACTTTGCCCAACTCGCCCAAGTCCGAACTCATTTCAATCCAAATTTTAAGCACCGCCCGAATTGGACCGGATTGTTTAATAGACTCCATAACCTATAAAGGTCGTCTACCTATCTATACGCTAGTTTTATTCCGAAGAGGTGGCCCTTAATGGCCATTGAAACTGAACAGAAACGTGAGTGGACAAATTGGTCCGGACCGGGTCACGATAAGGGCGCCCGCACGCGTCCAAGGAAAGGGAAATGTCCATAAACAACTGGCGACTCGGTCCCAATTAATAAAGCAGCCAGCACTGAAGTGGTGCAATTAATTCTGTTCCTTCGTAGATTTTAATAGTTCGCATAAATCAGTGCGGCCGGTGGGGTAATCGTTGTTTAATATGCCGGCCTATCGCCCGCCGACTATCTGCCGGATATATTGCTGGCCAGCGCTGATAAAACACGATACGTGATTCGGAAACTTGCTATTTTTCCTGTAATTTTCTTCTGTATCGGTTTCCTTTTGAGCGCACGTGTGAACGGGTAATACGTTTGTGATGGAATTAGAAATGTGGGTGTGAATCAGAATTCGAAAAAATATGTTAATACAGATACTAGGTTGACGGCGAAAGTTTCATCAAAGGGAAAGTTACTTTTAATATCATGTTTTACACGAATTAAGAAAAGGTTAAATAAATATTCATTGTTATTAAGCCTGCTTTATCAACTGTGGTCAAGTTGCAATTTAAAATAACCCCATCGCAAACTTCTCACTGTCACTGTCCCTCATAGTTCTTGTTGGCAAAAAGTTAAATAGCAAAATTCCTTAACAGTTTTCACGAACCTGTATCCATATAGTAGGTATCCACCCTTCATTTATATTTAGAGTGGGGAGGTGTAAATTGAATTAGAGCCAGACTTCAGTTCGCTAAGTGGTTATATCGGTGCAGCCGGACACCGGACCCGATTCTGAAGTCTACAGTCCTTTTCGTAAGTAAATGAGAAGAAGGTAAGTATCAGTTTTAAATGGCATACACGGTCAGCTACATAATTATGCCATGTAATAGGTACCATACTTAATTTGGAAAACAATCTGCTCAACCTTATTTATTTTAGGGGTCGACTTTATGAGACATTTCTTATCTATATCGAGGGAATTCTTGACCTTGCATCTCATCTGATCAAAAGAGATGATCAAGTCAAGATTCACCATATTTCTATTTCATACTGACTAAACGAGTGATGAGTCTTTGATTCAACGACCATTTCTATGATTTCCATAAAACGAACAAAACAGTATGCACCTGTAGTTTAAATCTAGAATTTCGGAATCGGTCCCTGAAGGGCAAGGTGCGGACTGCGGACGCCACCAGGGCGGGCGGCGGGCGGCGGGCGGCGGGCGGCGACACCTCGTGATATTGAATGCGGTGCGGCGATCGAGCCTCAATTGTTATCGGCTGCAAGGTCGCCCGCCCCTGCCAGGTACTACCCTTTCTTTACGACCAGGGATGCCACCGACTTTTATTAGCTGCCCGCTTCTGCTGGATACGATTGTTTTACGTTCCCCGTTTTCAATTGGTAGGTATCTATAAAAATGGCTTAGGCAAGATGACACTGACAAGGAAAACTCCTCACGTTTGGTGCTAAGCTTTTTGCAATTTTAGGTTTGTTTATATTAACTGAATGCTCTCTGAAGAATAAAAATAAATGAGATGCAACATATTACAACGTCTATAGATAATAAACCTACCTAAAACAAAATAATGCACAATGGAGAAGCTCTCATTTAAAGCCATGTCTGATTTTGTGTTGATAAGGTTAATTCAAATTATCACACTACCCAGAATCCAAAAACTATTGATCATTTTCACCGACATTTTAAGTCTCATAATTAAACCTATGGACTTTGACATGTCTTCTTTAAGACAACTAAACAATGCAAAATTTCTTGATTGAACCAGTGTTCTTAGATTCCGTACTAAATTATTTGGAAACGCTTCAGCCCTACCGCACCGGCGGGCGGTCATTGGTCAATTTATTTCTTGCGCCGCAGTTATCATGATTGAATTAAGCAACTCCGTCCGGATTGCATGCCCTTCCTGAATTATGGCCTTTGTCCGAGTACCTAACTCCCCGGACGACTCCGGACACCCGCAAAAAGGGAATCCGGCATTTTAATCGTGGGAATGGTCGGCCGGCGCAGGTTTATTTAAGGTTAATTTCGATGATTTCGGTCCGTTCGGTGCGATTGGGGTTAACCGGCGCTTTCGGCAGTTAGCTTTGATTTGCGAACTTTGCTCGCTGTTGTTTGGAGTTCATTGCGAAATCGATTTTTGTTTGGATTGCAGAAGCAGGAAATGTTAGGAAGAACCTTCTTCTTCACAAAAACATATTCATTAAGGAGTCTTAAACAACATTGTGTTCAGTTACCTACCCACGTTAACTTATTTAAAAATGTTTTAGTAATAGAATGTGTTTCTTTAATTGGCTTATGTTTAAGTTATATCTTCCTGCACATTTATGTACAATTTAATGCTGTTGAAATATTGTTAAATAAATAAAATAAAAAAATAAAATAAAATTGATTTTATATAAAGTCATCGAGTTATTATCATCATCAGCTACATCGCCAAAGTATAAAACAATTACCAAATACATGAATATTATTTATTGCAAAATAAATCGATCAACAAAAATTCACTCGGCAATTAAAATACGAGTAACCGAATACGTCCCTATTCCATTTCAATTGTTTCCTATCACAATATCGCGGTTCACCTTAGCGTGCGGGCCCGATGTTTCTCTTCCGCCTCACGCGCCGCCGCACGCGGCTGGATAACAAAGCACAGGTAACACGTCAGTACGAGCATTACGGGCGTGTTATTGTAAGGTGAACGCGTATTACTCGGCGCACTTCCTCGACAAATCTGCGACGGAAGGGAATTTAAAATAAACGTGTATTAGCTTTGAGTATTCGGTGAACATGTTATTCCCATTGACAGAGGTGTAGGAAATAGATACATGGAATGTTTGTATCAAGAAATAATGGTTTTCCGATTATTATAAGCAATTTTAGTTGAATGTACCTGATATTAATTTTTTTGAACATCGGCATTCGAAAAAAACTAATTCATTTGGCCCAAAATAATACTACTTTGCTCGTAGCAACTACGTATAATAATAATCGTAGCATAGCCGTAGCTGCTAGCGGTGCGTCGTAGCTGACTACGTGCTACGAGCTACGATGCTACAGAGGCTTTTTCTTCTATAATTTTTTTAAGTTATTTTTTTAAACAAGTGCCTATATTTCGTAAAAAATAAGGCGTTTACATAATAAGTGATGCCGCCAATATTATTGGTAGTTGTATAGTCAGCCTTTGCAAAGTAGTATATTACAATGCAGCTATGTACATAAATAATAATAAATAAATAAATATCCTTGGACATTTTACACTGCGCTTCTAGTCCCAAACTAAGCAAAGCTTGTACTATGAGTACTAGACAACGGATATAAACATACTTAAATACTTTTTATTTTGTAAATACATACATATTATACATAGAAAACACCCAGTCCAATACAAACAAATATGTTCATGCACACAAATGTTTGTACTGTGCGGGAATCGAACCCGCAACCTCCGGAATAGTAGTCCGAATCGAACCACTACACCAAACGGCCGACATGACGACACAAAGAATTATTTTCCAAGGACTCATGAGTTTATTAAAATATAGCCATTGCTCATCAGCATAATAGATTCAGATGAATCTAATGAAGCAGATGCTTTCTTTGTAGTCAAGAACGCTAACCATTAGACAAAAAAACCAATCTTGAGAAAAGAGTAGCCCCCGTCCTCATCGACATAACACAATATGCTAAAACCAAGGCACAGACGTCCAATATTCAAATCTCATATGGCAACTCATCCACTACAATGGATATTACAAGTTTCTATTTCACTGATGAAGTTCATTTTTATTCAGGACGCGCCTAGTAGAGTCGCTAAGTAGGTACAAATAATCCATAATTTATTGCCAACTAGGATTTGCATGGGATGCCGATAGAGAAAAAACGCCCGAAACCGCATCTTAGTTCATAGCACTGTTCCGTATAATAGGATATTTTAAAAGCTGACCAAAAAAAATGGATTGTCTCCGTTTTATTAGCTGCTGCTTTGAAGATTATTAGATTAAAAGTTTTCTAGTCAACTGTATAAAATAAAAATTATTTGCAAATGCATTCTTATCAGTCCATAAATAAATGCATTTTAATTTCCGAATTTAATTCCAAAACACCATGTTAATTTTCTTAGAAAATAAATAAAAAAAACTATGAAAATCACAGCTCACAAAGCCCGTACATGATCTTTTAATAAACTAACTCCAGGCTATTTTAATTCAATTTTTTCATACCTACCCATTCAATTGTAAAATTTATTAAAAAGTATAATCTTCGAGCACGGATCTCCAAATCGTAGCACATCAAGAGGCATCAGCTCCGCACGTCGATAGCGTTACGGCGAATTATTCCATTCCATTTTAGACGAAATGTATACAGAGCAAACATGAAAAGAGAACAAAATTAAGCGCCGCGGCGGCGCGAGCCACGCGTGCAGGCGGAAAACGGTCTTCGAATGTATTTTGTACTGTATTATATTAATTTGAAGATTGTGACTGTTTCTGAATTCCTAGGTGTGACGTAATTATAAAAAATCCTACATTATTTCTGATGAATAAAAGGGGTACAAAGTTGGCTGGGTTAGCTAGTCGAAAATAAGAATGAAGCACAGTAACCACCTGTAGTCACACAATGACACAATAGTGAATGTATGAAATAACGAAACATCCTTCTTCCAAATTATTAAAATAACCTTATAAAACTCTACTTAAATCATTTGCGTATTTGGTAGAGTTAACATTATATTGGGTTTTGTTTAATTGCTAAGATTCACGAATCGCTTTTCTCCTTGCACTTGCACCGCGGCAGCGGAACCGCGGCTCGCCGCGGGGCGGGGGGCGACATCAATAATCCTCCTTGTTATTCTTATGCAAATGCCCACCGTACGGTAATAAGTGGAGCGCGAATCAGACGCGTACAGATTGGAAGAATTCGCTGACACCGGCCGCGGCACGGGAGTGGGGGCTGAAGGTCTTTGTTACGTGACGCGAGGAAAACTTATGAGAGATCTTTGCTTACATATCATTTATATTGTTTGTTGAACAAACACTATGACTAGACTGATGAAAACATTTAGGTACATAGGTATTCTCTCTTCTTAGTGACTCCAGTTAACTTTATTCTACATTAAACATTCGCTTTAATTACCAGTCCGATAACAACGGCATATCATTGTATTGTGCCACTGACCTCATTTCTAGATCATTACTTTTTAACATGATCAAGGTACTCTTACTTACGTACACACATATGTGCGCAATTTAATAATTAGATAAATACTCGTGAATGCATCATTACACCCGTGCTGACCTAATTTACGTCCTTGGTCAAAGATGCATCTATTTTCCTTTCGACGTCGGTCGTTATCTTCGTACTTCGTACTGCCAATTAGTTGTTTATTGCTTTACTAGTTATTGACAAACAAGCAAAGACGTCACTGCATTTCACCTGACACTGATCTATGAATTGAGTGCACGCTATCACACCACTACTGCAGTGGAGTAACTTTCAGTGGGGGCAAGTATGTTTTCATACTCTTGTTTATATAAAAGCAATTATAATAACTCCGCTGAATTAGTAAAAAGATTCCAATTCCACTTTATTTATCTATCTTTCTAAGCTAACAACGTTAAACTAACCAGTCATTTTAATTAATAGGAAAAATGTTGCAATCAACGACGTTATTTCCGATTAGGATTAAGTATCGTCCAATTGGAATTACCATCAAATTGGTATTCAATCTAAGGCCGGAGCTGACAAAAGCAAGCACCACACGAGTGTGGAAAACACTACTGTGTCAGCTTGTATTGGCGCTATCGGGTACTGCGCATCGCGGGAAGCGGGCAGCTGGCTATCGCGGTCGGAGGCCAAGGTGCGCGCGGGCGTCAGACTCCACGTTACACTTGTTTTTACCGGAGACTACACAGGTTATTGGAAAATATGTTATTATTCAAGATCTTTAATCATTACATTATTATGTTGTTTGTTGATTGCCCACGCGTAACACTTTATCTACGCAACCAATGTCGTATCAGAAAAATATAGCGGGTCAGTTTTCCAACAGTAAATTGTTTACGATAAGTAGGACTATGATCCACTTTAATTCTTATAGGATAACAATCTGATATAGGTAACTATTTACGTATAACAAAACAATGAGTTTTGAAATTCTTACAGTAATAATAGATGTGGTTTGATGAAAACTGATTACGCTTACAAAAGGCAGGGACTTAATTAACGAGTTCACAAGTACTCGTATTTTAACTTAGGGATGTTACTTTGTATCAGCAATTTTCATATTTCATTTATAGTTGGAAGAAGGAACTTATTAGAAAGTATTCTTCTAATAAGTCAAATTGATATGCAAGAATTTCTAATGAAAGTTGTAGATCTTAACTCATGGTACCCCTAGCCATGAATGGGCGCGTAGGCCCCGCGATATCGGCGCGGGCGCGTGAATGGGCGATAACGCACACATGCAAGCGGACACGTGTGGGCAGTGGGCAGAGGCCGACGACACCAGTGACTGGAGCTTTTTGTACATTTCCCATTAAAAGATAAGCTGATTCAGTTTTCTAATTAGATAAAATATCATTTTAGTCCGGAGAACCTATTACTATCCCACGGCTGCTCTTATATTGAAACCATTAATTATTTATGGTTTCCTTCCTAATGTACCAATTAAAATATAAAGGTATATAGGTACGCTATTTTATTTTTCTTAACAGAAAATTCTCGTGTTGCAATAAGAAAATAACACGTTAAAATTGGACCTGTCATTCGGCACTGCAACATTTCCACGTCTCTGGACGTTTCTATTTTCCTTGTACCTGACTTAATTTAAAATGTTTCCTTCAGTGTGAGTGCCAAAAACGCTCAGCGTTAAAACTAGTTTCGTATGACGAATAAATCTGTCTCTTCGCGAGTTATCGCGAAACACGAAGGTAAGTGCGCCAGTTTGGGCAGCCGTAAGTCTCCAGGTTCGGGTGGTCGCCGATAGATGGCAGACGTGTCGCATCGATTATGCGGGATTTACACAATACGATTTCTAATTAGTCTTATAAGAAACCAAATACATACGATTTTTTGGGAGATTTGGTAAAATCTTTTTTTTCCGAGACAGTGGGGAAAACATTTAAAAATTCTTTTTCTACCTATACTAGTCATCAACTGAAGAAAAGTAGATAACTAATCATTAGTTTTAAACTAATTCCTGTAGCATCGTATAAACCGCACCTTATTGCGCAACATGCGCACGCGCATCTACTCCGACTAATTGCTCGAAGTGCTCGTTCGCGCCGTAAGTCACGAGCGCGTTTTCGCGCTTTCTTAGAGATGCCATAAAGTAGCACAATCACTTCTAGAGAACGTCACGCTCTCATAATGTTGGCCGCCCATCACACAAAATGTTTTAATTTAACCTCAACCACGAAATTAACATTACATTAGGGTCTCAAAATTAGAATAACGTAAGGTAAGTGTGCGTCAAGAAGATGAGATGTTAAGGCGACAAGCGTATTTTGAATGACTGTTTTGGCTTTTAAATATTTCTCCTTAGTGTATGGATAGTAATGTCTTAAATAAAATTATTATTTATTTACTATTATTATTTGTTAAACAAATCATAATTCTTACAGCCTAGCTCTAGTTTCTATGCCAGCCTTAACGTCAATTGAATTCTTGCTGGGTGAAAATCAGGTGTTTACAGGAATTCATTTTTTTTAACTTATTGTCTATTTACTGAGTTATTCACCTATTTCAACTACTCGTAGAGAATTAAACGCGCGATTAAACATTATCAATAAATTAATTTGTTGTGTATAAGTGTCCAAGTCATGTCTTTGTCCTTGCTTGATTGGTGTGACTACCTTTTCTAGAGAATGTTTACTATTTAACTTTTAAAATGTCTCGAATGATTTATGCATCCGTGTCCGTGCATCCAGGTAACAATACCTACAAATTGGTATCAACAAATGGAAATAAATTACTCGTACACTGAATTTAGAAAATAATATTAAATTCCTGGTATGCCTAATGAGATAAGCCGCAAACATTACGGGAACCACAGCAATGAACAAAATAAGTACACAGGTAAATAAACTGTTATTATATGTACAGCCGTGTGGTGACNTAAGAGGCGACTTAGGGACTACACATCAAACAGAGAATGGGCAGCAGCGCTCTCTGAAAAACATCAATCTTTTAAACTGCGATCTCCAACCCGCCTGCCAAGCGTGGAGATTATGGCAAAACCCTCCACTATAGTGGAGGAGGCTCATAGTCCAGCAGTGGACTGTAAAAGGCTGTTGATGATGATGATTATATGTACAGGAACGTTTTACACCACGGGTTTATACACCACGAGGCACATAGGTAAACTTCAACTTTCACTTTTACCAACATTGTTTTAGTGTAATTATTTATAATATCTGTTTAGTAAGCACTAATTTACATAATAAGTATGGATACCTAAAACAGAGGCAAACATTTTCGCTTAGTTTAGGTATACTATTTTAATAAACATATTGTTACTAACAGAATAATTTCATAGTCCCGTTTATGTTTCTTGTATTTAGTCTAAGTTTTTATTAAATAAATTTATCTTATCCTTATAAAAGGTTACACTCGCCCAAAAGATGTAGGTAAATAGCAGCAATGAAGTACAAACTTTCTGCTGCCCAATTAAAGTTAATGTACTAGACGAATGTAACAGACGAATACTATGTACCTATTTGAAAGAAATATGTGGTACTGCAATCATTGATCAACAAGTAGGTAATACTTACATTATCTATACGGTAAACACCAATTATTTCGTTAGTAATTTTACTCTTTTTTAGCTGATTGATGTGTTAACACAGAATATAAATACGAGGAAGCATTTAGTAATCAAACACAAGAGTCAATATAATAATTTTACATCCATATCCATGGGGAACTACGCATTTACCTGTTTCCTGTAATGGTAGAATTAATTGCTACAATAACTGATTAGGAAATACCTATTAGGGAAAATAATTTATAATATACGGATATTTTAATATAATAAAGGTGAAAAACAATATGATTTGTAGGTATGCCGTTGCCAGTTACCTACTGTAGTTAAATAAGTCAGTTTTATAAGTGCATAACCGATGTACGAGTATTTTTGTTTACTACATTTAGGGTGTGTCGATTTGGAAGTGGATAAGTGCTGTACTTAAGTGTCAACTTCGAAATTAGAGTCAATTAGATATTATTAGCGTAGCATTGCCCAATGTCAAACCACTAACTACATACTAATAACACAAATCTAATTTATAGTAACACACGAAAGGATGATTTAGGTCGAGGCTTAATGGATGCAGGTGCAAACTCTTTATTACGACATACCTATTCCATATATTTAACGCCAATGCTGAACAGTGTACAACACAAACAAAACATTACCGAGTTATGCAAATGCGCTTTTAAACATCGCATCAATAAGCCTGTGCGTTAATCTCGCGTAATGTGCGCGACACATTTGCGCTGCGCAGACGCATTCTGACCATAGTACACTTACACTTTGAGTAGCATTAGCACTCTAATTAAAAGGAAGCTATATGGTTCTTAGTACTATGCATATAGCCAACACGAAAACAACACAAAAATAATGTCGTTAGTTTTATTTTTAAATATACGCGTACAATCGCCTCATTTCTAGACCTAGATAATTTTTATGCAGATGCATTGACCAAGTGTTACCGCTTCAACCACGACGCACTGTGGCACTGCGGTGCGCCCGCACCGATCGTCAATGCGGTAAACATGTTTGTTTGTTACATAAGCTCCACGATGTGAACAAGATTGTTGTGTAAGATTTATAAACAAATTCTTTGTAACTGATGTTATGAGCGAACTGATTCTGTAATAGTTTTTGCTGAACATCGTGTTACAGGAATTAAATTTATAGTTATTCGTTCTCTTGAGTAGGTATCGTAATTCGTACATGATGAAAATCAAGAAAGATTTATCTTAATAATTAGGTACTTGGTCAAAATAAGTTCTAAATAACAAAGTGTTATGTTTATGAATCATTTCAGTATAGATATCGATTATTTATATTGCTATTTTATACAAAACAAAGTCCATTCATGTTTCTTCTTTAAATAGAAACCAAAAATAAACGTCGCAATGACGTCCGCGATACAATAACAGGCGTCACAGCGCATATCCTTAGCTTACATTCGATTACACTACGTGACGACACCGCTCCTCAAAGTTATTACTGGAAAATACCAACATAAAAATTAAAGCGTTTTACAGTTCCGTACTAACCCTTGTACGCTTGATAGTTAAAAGCAGCAGCGCTGAGAAGAAATCATTCAAAAGATCTCTATGAATGTATCTCTCTCTATGGGGCAAACTTGGCCTTTACTGGTTGAATTTTTATAAAGCTCCACACAGGAGTTTCAGCGGTGGTAACGAGGTGGGAATAGTGTCGTTAAAGTATTAGAATGAGAATCAGACTTTATGAGTCGCCATTGATGTTATCAACCTAGCTAGATCACAATCATCACTTGGGGGCAGGGCCGGATTAACCATCTCGGGGCCCCTAGGCACAGCTTGTTTCGGGCCCCCCTTTTTTTTTGTCGAGTGCTTGCGCACCGTCACCACTGCCGGGGACAGGGTGGTGTGTGCTCCGTCCTAAAAAGGACGGGGTATACCCACTAAAATCTCCGCGGCGTTNTTGGAAGTGGATAAGTGCTGTACTTAAGTGTCAACTTCGAAATTAGAGTCAATTAGATATTATTAGCGTAGCATTGCCCAATGTCAAACCACTAACTACATACTAATAACACAAATCTAATTTATAGTAACACACGAAAGGATGATTTAGGTCGAGGCTTAATGGATGCAGGTGCAAACTCTTTATTACGACATACCTATTCCATATATTTAACGCCAATGCTGAACAGTGTACAACACAAACAAAACATTACCGAGTTATGCAAATGCGCTTTTAAACATCGCATCAATAAGCCTGTGCGTTAATCTCGCGTAATGTGCGCGACACATTTGCGCTGCGCAGACGCATTCTGACCATAGTACACTTACACTTTGAGTAGCATTAGCACTCTAATTAAAAGGAAGCTATATGGTTCTTAGTACTATGCATATAGCCAACACGAAAACAACACAAAAATAATGTCGTTAGTTTTATTTTTAAATATACGCGTACAATCGCCTCATTTCTAGACCTAGATAATTTTTATGCAGATGCATTGACCAAGTGTTACCGCTTCAACCACGACGCACTGTGGCACTGCGGTGCGCCCGCACCGATCGTCAATGCGGTAAACATGTTTGTTTGTTACATAAGCTCCACGATGTGAACAAGATTGTTGTGTAAGATTTATAAACAAATTCTTTGTAACTGATGTTATGAGCGAACTGATTCTGTAATAGTTTTTGCTGAACATCGTGTTACAGGAATTAAATTTATAGTTATTCGTTCTCTTGAGTAGGTATCGTAATTCGTACATGATGAAAATCAAGAAAGATTTATCTTAATAATTAGGTACTTGGTCAAAATAAGTTCTAAATAACAAAGTGTTATGTTTATGAATCATTTCAGTATAGATATCGATTATTTATATTGCTATTTTATACAAAACAAAGTCCATTCATGTTTCTTCTTTAAATAGAAACCAAAAATAAACGTCGCAATGACGTCCGCGATACAATAACAGGCGTCACAGCGCATATCCTTAGCTTACATTCGATTACACTACGTGACGACACCGCTCCTCAAAGTTATTACTGGAAAATACCAACATAAAAATTAAAGCGTTTTACAGTTCCGTACTAACCCTTGTACGCTTGATAGTTAAAAGCAGCAGCGCTGAGAAGAAATCATTCAAAAGATCTCTATGAATGTATCTCTCTCTATGGGGCAAACTTGGCCTTTACTGGTTGAATTTTTATAAAGCTCCACACAGGAGTTTCAGCGGTGGTAACGAGGTGGGAATAGTGTCGTTAAAGTATTAGAATGAGAATCAGACTTTATGAGTCGCCATTGATGTTATCAACCTAGCTAGATCACAATCATCACTTGGGGGCAGGGCCGGATTAACCATCTCGGGGCCCCTAGGCACAGCTTGTTTCGGGCCCCCCTTTTTTTTTGTCGAGTGCTTGCGCACCGTCACCACTGCCGGGGACAGGGTGGTGTGTGCTCCGTCCTAAAAAGGACGGGGTATACCCACTAAAATCTCCGCGGCGTTCCGTCATCGCCCAAATGGGGGTATCCGGCCG